CCAGACTTTACACTGTACCTCTTGAAGGTGCCACGGCCTCGTGCTGTGTATGCAAATCTCAGTCTCATCCATTGATTGCCCGCTTGACACTAATGAATGACCTGGAATACTTCATTAATTGACAATGATTAACTCGTCGGCCTGACACGCGCTCTTCCGGAGGACACACAACTAGTCCCGGTTTCATAAACACGTTTGACAGTCATTCCGAATTAAGCCCAAACCAGTTTGGGTCAAAACTGGATGTTATCCAGTTACACCCTTGAAACGGAAACCGGATTACATGTCCCGGTGTTGAAACACGAGAACCGGTTTTAGTTTTTCAAACCGGTTTGGAAGAGTTGATTAGTTTGAAGTACTGGTGCAATGGACGACAATGTCATGTGTCCTCGCATCTCACCTAGCGCATAATTAGAGATGCAGTCATTACAACGTATTTAAATCACGCGAGATTCAATTGATAGAGCAGACGACATTAACGTATGGATTCACAGGGAGATGGCATTTACAAGACACACAGAGGAGAGTGACCTCGGAATGGTTGTTAACGAGATGGTAGCAGTTGGAAACCCATGAAGGTTAAACACAATTAATAACGCCCGCAACCTCGTCCTACATTAATATATTCATTGAACTGGGAACTGACATGTGAGACTCTTGACAATGGCGATCCCTGGGAAAGAAAGTGTTGTGTTCACTCATATTCATATTTACAAACGCCCATTGTACTTCCAATCTCGCTCAATCTATAGAATTTTCGAAGACCTTGAAGGGCACGTCAGTTTCCAAGGAAACTAATTTTCTCACAAATGATATATAGTCAATATTGTATCGCAATAGCCGCGTTGATTGTTTGAACGTGTAGATCTTGGTAGCACGGTGCCATGTGGCATGTTATTCGTGGAAATCGGTCTGCTGTGACGCATGTGGTATTTTTTCCATGTAATTGAACATTCAAATACTCTATGTTAGATTTGATCATATCTTAGGCTGTCAAACTGCAATGTCGATTTAGGGGCGATGGGGTAGGAAAGTAGTTAAGGCGTTGACTTGTCACGCCGAGGATCCGATTTTGATTCCCTCAAAGGAAAGATTATGTGTGTGATGCCTATTCTTGGAGTCCCCTTCTTTGAGATGCCTGGAATATTGCTGACAGAGGCGAAAAGACCCAATTCGTTCACTCGCTCGAGAACAAGTCTGTTTAGAACTACTTCCATCCATAAGAACATTAATATCTAATAAACATTCTATAGTCAAACAATTCTAAATATACAGACGTAACTTAATAAGATGACCCAACAATTGCATATAATAATTATAACTACATGATCTTACACTACGGTGCCCAATCAATGATATTATTGATATATGTCCACGATTATTTTCCAAACAGGTGAGTGAGTGAGTGAGTTGGGTTTTACGCCGCTTTTAACAGTATTCCAGTTATATCACGGCGTGTCACCTTAATGTGGGAGGAAAGCCCGAAGTGATGCAGGTCTCAGACGTTTACCACTTCGGTGAAACCCACGAGCACGGGTATGGTGCTGACAAACCTAGAAACATAATCGGGGCGAACCGGGATTCGAACCCACAATCATAGGTTTCTGGCGTGCCCAAGGGACGCAACTCTGCACAGCGAATCGCGGCGCCTTAGACGACTTGGCCACCCGTGCCCCCTCCAAACAGGGAATAGACGAGTAAATGAATATTGTCAGTCTTCAACCATTGACGGAACTATTCCGTCACGGAGGACGTGTTGCATTGGTCATAGCATCACAGAAGTAAGACGTCATAATGATGCATCTCTCCAATCAGCTTCGGGAATCTTTAAAATACACCTGTGCAAATATCTTAAAGTTATTACACGCGGTCGACCACGGACAATGTTAAGTGTTATGACAGCCCACACAAATACGTCATCAATATTTTCACTAAATAACTAATTTTCACTAAAGGTAGCAGTTCATAACCCGCCTTGCCTACCGGCAAAAAGGTAAAGGGTAAATATGAAAAAAAAATCTTCAATCAATAAGATCTTGATATTTAACCTGTTGATAAGACAGTAACGTCTTGCTAAAACAAATACTTAAATTATGATTAAAAAAGATAAAACAATTCATGTTTTTTAAATGTATCCTTAAAGTTGGTTTTCGGGGAAACCGATGAATTGATACAGGGGATTAATGTCATTTGACCCATATAGCCATTTAAACACTCCCTAGAACCCACTACGTTCAAACACCTGACACTGCATACAACATTTATCAAATTACAGGACACAGAGTACATTTTATGTCCATGTGTATCTTAAACAAAGGGATGGATGGGGCCGGGTGATCGAAATAACCATTAATATTCATGATACGATTGAAAACTTAATACACTGTGGCTTAACATTAATCATCCAATAACTTCTAATTACTCACATGACTAGAACTGACAAGTAACGTATGCTGATATTCATATTTAATGTTGTATGGGAGATTTAGAAATTAAGAAATACTGGCAAAAATATTCTCGCAACGAGCTATTGCTTGAGAGACTAGATTCCTCGATTGTCAAGGGTATTATATCTCGAGTCCATCACAATACATACCCTGGACGCATTCGCTTCCATAGCTTCGTTTGGCAGAGGATCTCTCTTGTGAGTAATAACCTGTACCCGGGAAATATCTGGGTAAGAACTGGTCCTCGGCAACCCATTTTGGGCGTAAGAGGCTACTAACGGGTTTGGGTGGTCAGGCTCGCTGACTTGGTTGATGAATGTCAACGTATCGCAATTGCGTAGATCGATGCTAGTGATGTCAATCACGATTATTTACAGACCACCGTCATATAGCTTGCATATTCCTGAGTGCAGCGTTAAACAACAAACAAACAAACAGTAGTTACCCATAGAGAACTCGCACATTTGTTGACGTCCGTTATTGGCGTCGCGTCATTCGAATCAGACTCACAGCGTCATCAATATCAGGGTCTTATTTTTCCTTATTTTGTGGCAGAATACATTGAATACGAGGATTAAATTAAGTGTTCACAGTGGAGACTGCTGAGAGTAAGTCAGGTGAGGTGAGGTGAGGTGAAATGGGGTTTAACGTCGCGTCCAAGTTTATTGCGACTTATAAAGCGACGTGTGTGTGTGTGTGTGTGTGTGTGTGTGTGGCTGCTTGTGCTATACCCCACTCAGACACAGTTTACTTACTCCGAGCCGACCAGTCCTTGATTAAGCCGCTTAATGCCGAGCGCCAGACAGGGTAACAACAAGTACCATCTTTTAACGTCTTTTGGTATGACGCGGTAGGGGATCGAACCCGGACCTTCCGCTCTCCGGGCGGACGCTCTACCACTAGACCACGGAGGCGGTAAGTCAGGTGAGAGTCGCCGCTTTCAGAGTGAGTGAGTGAGTGAGTTGGGTTTAACGCCGCTTTTAACAGTATTCCAGTTATATCGCGGCGTGTCACCTTAATGTGGGAGGAAAGCCCGAAGTGATGCAGGTCTCAGACGTTTACCACTTCGGTGAAACCCACGAGCACGGGTATGGTGCTGACAAACCTAGAAACATAATTGGGGCGAACCGGGATTCGAACCCACAATCATAGGTTTCTGGTGTGCCCAAGGGACGCAACTCTGCACAGCGAATCGCGGCGCCTTAGACGACTGGGCCACCCGTGCCCCCTCCGCTTTCAGAAGTAGTCAAGCAGGAATACGAAAGATACAAAGAACATCTTTCCATATTGTACCCACGAGGGGAATTGAACCACATGCAAGCGAACGCATTTAACACAAAGCCACATCGGGATGAAGACTCCAGAAGTGATCAGGAGCGTTTTAAATTTGAGGTTTGACGTTCAACTTGCTGACGTTGCAAAATAACAGTTTGGTCTTCTGCAAATCTGTTTCGTGTGGTAATGTGTTCTACAAACAATAATTATTTTCGAATAGCATCTCGTCGCATTAAGACCCAGTAATAAAATACGTCAGGGTAACACTATAATTATATGTAAGTGGATGAGTTAGGTTTAACGCCACTTTGAACAATGCTTCAGTTGTATCACGAACCATCAGCTTGGTGTAGAAGATGAGTCCCAAGTGATCTGGACCACTTTAGTGAAACCCACGAGAACGGATATAGTGCTGACCAAACTACAAACAGAATCAGGACGTTCAGGATTCGAACCCGCGGTCATACGTGTAGGTTTCCGACACGCTAATGGCTATTTGCGGTGCCAAAGACAATTGGGCCGCCCATGCCCTCTCTTAAACTATGGCGTCCACATGAACTTCAGATTACAACTGAAACAGTTGTTGCTAAGATACTATTGAGTTGGAAAGACTGATGCAGAAGGGCCCGGATCCCGAATCGGATGATGATGATGATGATGATGGAATTAGAACCCAAAACTAGGAGCTCTCCCAATAATAAAGGACATTAGAACATTGTACAACAATTTATTATTTGCTGTATCTTCTTACAGACAGACAGACAGTTTATTCAGTATTTAAGGCATCAAGGCCCATAGTACAATTTATTATGGGACGCTATGTTAATTAGTTCAAACTTGCATTTAACATGGTGTGATCAGTGCGAGACAGCATGTGTAACGTAATTGGTCTGCGGCAACATTTAGCACAATTGATTATATTTAAGTCACTTTCACGGCAATATGCATATAGGGGAGACTTTCATTGCTTTTTAAATCTTCAGTTTTGACGCATGTTAGGCTTGTTTCACGTTAGCAGTTCTATAAATGATATGTCATAGATTGTAAAATTTAATGCAAAATACATTAAACAATATCCAATATATAACATGTTTTTCATTTTTTTCCATTTACAGTTTGCATTTACACGAGTTAGGGGAATCTAACATTAAATACTAGTAACACATATTTTCCTGCTTTCTACTCTGAGTATGTTGTCCTTATGTAAGATGTAGCACAGAGGACCTACGTGTGTTAAATATTGACATTTTTCATTCTTCGCTACTTCCGGTTTGAAAGCGAGGCTTGGAGAGCAAAAGGTGAAGGCTGGCTAGCACATGATAGACTTAAAGATCTAGCGATGTCATTCGACAACAAGGCTTGCAATCGGGACAAACTGACAATTTGACCATCCCGATACTATTACGGCAACATTTATCGTAAGTATTGAACAGCTTACATTCATATCATTGGCAAATAATTCTATTATCATCTGGTCTCCTTGCTGAAATAATTTAGCAAGTGAGTCTGGCCGATTAGTTGTGATTTCAATTTCAAATATCCATGACCACCCGGTCAGTACATAGCAGCTGAACACCGACTTAATACACATCCTACAGGCATTGTGTAAAGAATAATTCATTGTTTACACACTATTCACCGAAACTATTTATTTATTTGTTTTAGTCCAGGTGTAAGTTTGAATAACTTTTCGAGTTGTATTTGAAGTAAACAAGTCTTTGGAGAATAGAAAATATTGACCTTTGACCATACATACATGTTGATTTTATTTATCTTATTGTAACCTATTAAGAAATAACAATTATAAACAAATCGGAATTTTGCATCAGTTTTGATATGAGGTTAATTGTAATACATTCCAATAAAATATTACACCTCTAGTCTAGATCTACCAGTGCTAATATGATTTTGAACAGTAGTTATTTTAATTGTGAATGTTGACAGATTAGATAGCACGAGTTGTATTATTTCTACTGAATTATTACATTCAAGGTGTGGACATATTTCAAGTGAAATACGGTTTCATCTACAATTTTGTAAACAATATGTTTAGCAAAATAATCATGTCAAGATATAAACAAAACTCCCACTAAATAATGGCCAGTAAATGTTCAATACTCATCTGAATTCGTGTGATCTGTGCAGAAACATTTATATGTTCAACAGTCTATAAAAGATATTTCAAATTTAAAAAAGGGATAAAAATTACTCAAAACAGAAAGAATTTATGGATGTTGTGTAATTCCTATGGGTATTTCAATCGTAACTACTTTATTCCCTTTGTTTATGTTTAATTGTGAAATCCATCTGGTTTTATGTACACAAACATGTTGTGAAACTCTTAAAACAAAATAATTTATTTTGTGCAAGCAAATGCCATGTAATGTATTATTGATAATTAATCATGTTGATATACATGCATATATTAGATAATAGTTGTGCTTACTGTGTCAGTGTGCACTATTCATATTATTATGATATTGTTAACAATCTTTTTTAAATCAAGTTAAGTAGTGTGATCATTTCAATAATTTCATAATTCATCAAAACAAGAAATAGAAATATAAAAATACAGAGAGGACATTTGGTTTTCCTCGTCAAAAAAAATGATGGCGTTATTTATCTCATCTTGTGATCTGACAAAGTTTATATTTTCAGGAGTGCCACAGCCACAAGTCAAAATATCAACTTTAGTAAACCACAAGATGAGATAAACATTTTATTGACAAAAGAATACAAGTCTTATTCATATTTTATTCAGGGTGAAAGACTGAGTTTTCTGCAGTGCCACTATCACTAGTGGTATCACTATTGTATACCTCGAGGGGTGTAACTACACACTATCAAGGTGACTATGCTTGTAGTAAGAGGCCACTTACGGGATCGGGTGGTCAGGCTCGCTGACTTGGTTGATACGTATCCCAATTGCGTAAATCGATGCTCATGATGTCAATCCTCTGATTGTCTAGTCCAGACTCGATTATTTACAGACCGCCGTCAGATAGCTGGAATATTGCTGAGTGCGGTGTTAAACAACAAACAAAAGAACTGCAAGGCGACTTTATTGTGTCTGACTGACTACTTGCTTAAAATGCTGAACACTTGACCCCACATTCATAACTGTGGCCATGGCGTCATTATCTGAGATAAATATTTGTTTAAATTCTGCACACATAACACATAATGGTGTGTCTTGTGTCTTGAAATAAAATTGCTTGTTTTGAATAAGGGAGGAGGAGACACTGCGATGTTGTGTTTGGTATCCTTTTTATTTCGCTCGTCAGTTTATATAATACGGTCGTTGGCATGACAGATCTTGAGAAATATGAATTACACTGAATCACCATTAAAGGCAATGTAGACTCGTGCACACTCGCGGTCCCAGCAAATCTAACTCAAGTCGACCAAGCTCCAAGTCATTACGAAAGTTACTTAATGTGTTCATATTAAAGAGAATTAGACCTTGTTCATTTCAACAACTGCATTTATAGACTAACACATACCTAATCTATAGGTATGGCAAAACTGTGTGTAAAGATCTCCTTTTAGAGATTTTCAGGAAGGCTTTTCTGACATTTGAAGATGAGCAAATCTTGACCCAGGCTGAATTTCTAAGTGCATGTAAATAAACACAGAACACGCAGCCGTCATATAGCTGGAATATTGCTGAGTGCGGCGTTAAAAAACAAACAAAAAAACAGAACAAGCATATCATCTTGGACACATACAAGTTTCACACAATACATTTATTACAACGTCTAGACGTCTCCTGAATTCGTTTACAAACAAGCTGGATGAATAACCTTATCTGCACTTGTTACACACCAGCACAGACGGATTCCGGCGATGTACAAAGGGAATTGCCCCATTATAATTATTATGATTTGATAAACATCATTTCCATCCAGATTATCGGGGCTTACTGTAAACAATATGGTGCATTATACAGGACATCCCTTTAAAGGACGATTTCGGCGTTAAATGACTCTCAAACAGAAAATCACATAAAGCACGTCACCACTGGGAAACGGTTATTGGACTTGACTCTACAAGCTATATAGTTTATATTTGTATGATATATGACTCGCGTACAAGTATGTCTGAGCTATATACAAAACTCGGAACCGTGAGGACATTTTCCACCGTGTCTTCGCTCAGTGTTCAATAATAGCAGCAAGACATTTCAGAATCTGACTAATGCATATATGAGTTTTCGAACAGATGACACGAAGCCTTAAGGAGATTCCTATTTATTATAGATTAACTTCTTTTCAAAACGGGATCCAAACTGGACATATTTTTTATTTACTGATGCATACGTCAATTCCGAAAGCGGTTAAGATTTCTATCGCAGGGTCTATTATACAGTAATTTGTAATACTATAACTGTTGAATTAGTGTGAAATCGATCGACCAACCTATCCACGCATCCAAAGTCGCATATATTTGTTGCTTAATGAGCGTTTTGCTGACGCAGCGTCGACTGTATGCAACGTCTATGAAGTTGGGAACGTGATGCAGCCGATGTGTTGCATTCGTGGCTTATGATGGGTCCCCTTGTGACCCTACAGTATTTATAACAGAGGAACTGATAAGGTACTGATTGACTAAATCCCCCCGGATCGTCCGAGACTGGCTAGTAGCCATGCACGCAGACATGGCGATGGTTTATTTATTAGTCGAGACGGCTTGCTCGTCGAGAGGAAATGACGCCTGCTAGCTTGGTATTTAGTTATTCGTAATTAATTGATACATATTCTGTGTGTTGCTTCTTACGGATGAACGAGCAAAACTTGTCTCGTTGTCTCATAACTAATACCAGTAATTAGGTTATTTTATTCCTCTCTGAGCTACAGCTGCCGCCGGATATCACGTGCTTCAGCCTCCATGTTGGGTAGAAACGTCACGTGCTTGTCAACGTTGACGTCTGAAATAGACAAGGAAGTGGTTATTAAATGCCATGTGAGAAACGGACTTCGGATACATCGCGGTGTAATATGTTTTAATACTTTGAGCTTAGACGACCTGGGTTGACTTTTACCCCCTCACTTGGATGAAACCCGTGAAGATCCGGGGTAGAATAGGTCTTCAGCAACCCATGATTGCCGTAAAAGGCTACTATGCTTATCGTAAGAGGCGACTAATAGGATCGGGTGGTCAGGCTCGCTGACTTGGTTGATGCATGTCATCGTATCCCAATTGCGTGGATCGATGCTCATGATGTCAATCACTGGATTGTCTGGTCCAGACTTGATTATTTACAGACTGCCGTCATATAGCTGGAATATTGCTGAGTTCGGCGTTAAACAACTAAAAATCTTGAGATTGAGTTACTTTTGTTTTACGTAGCAGTCAGCGACAACATAATGGACTCTGGATTATCGAAATGTATTTCCGCAGGGATTTGGGAACATTCACATTTGTAAAACCGTAATTTGTGGGTCTGTTGTTTTCCATTATACATAAATTACATGATGTTAATACCGTAAAGATTGATTGTTTGTTCCTGAAACACCTGACCGCCTCTGTGGTCTAGTGGTAGAGCGTCCGCCCGGAGAGCGGGAGGTCCGGGGTTCGATCCCCACCCGCGTCATACCAAAAGACGTTAAAAGATGGTACTTGTTGTTACCCTGTCTGGCGCTCGGTATTAAGGGTTTAAAGCAAGGACTGGTCGGCTCGGAGTCAGTATACTGTGTTTGAGTGGGGTATTCATGTTAAACTGCGGCATGGTATCTCAGTGGGCTAGCACTATAAATCGGCATCAGTCCGGACTAGTACAAGCAGCCACATGTACACACACACACACGAATACACACACACGTTCATGCACGTCGCTATGTAAGTGCAATAATCTTGGACGCGACGTTAAACCCAATTTCACCTCACCTCACCTGAAACACCCAAACACCACTCGCAAATACGCCCCTTCACCTTGGGTGAGATCTGACCCATGCACGTATTGCACGTGGGTTGGATGAACCTCAATACATGTTAATCCCAATGTATTCACTTCATAAATCATCGGAATGACAGGAAACATACCACGTGACTCTTCACGTGCTATACGTACCTCCATGCAATCGACCTGCGTGGAGCACGTGTATTTCGAAAAACCGTTTAGTCACGTGCAAGGATTGGATCTCTCCTGAAAGCTGCAAAGGTGTGAGAGATTTGTCAATATTTTTTGTTCTTACTCAGTATATCAGTTGTAACGGGCGTGTCAGCAGGATCCGAAAGTAAAGCCGGAAGTGATGCAGATCTTTAGACGTTTACCACTTTGTGAAACCTACGAGCATGGCGCCTACAAACCCAGAACATATTCATAACGATCATAATGTTTCTGGTACGAAATTCGGCGCCTTAGACCACTGGCTAGATCCCCGTTTGGTTTCAATTAAAAGGGCAATTAATATAACATGAAAATACCGCCTCCATGGTCTCTTGGACAAAACGTCAGCCCGGAGAGTTGGAGGCATGCGGTTTAATCTCCGACCGCGTCATAACAAAAGCTACTTGTTGTTACCCTGCCTGATGTTCGGGATTAAGGGGATGAAACAAGGACTGGTCGGCTCGGAGTCAGGATACTGTGTTTGAGAGGAGTATTTAGTTTACAACTGCCGCTAGCACTATAAAACTGGCATTAGCTCGGACAAGTAGAAGCAGTCACATACACGTCACTTTTGAAGTAAAACAATCTTGAACACGACGTTAAACCCATTTCATCTCACCATGGTTACCACCGACTGCACCCACACTGCAAGGAGCGCTAACGGGCTCTGACCAATAACAAATGCTGAATCCTTTTTTCGTTTTTGTATTTGGAATATATGGCGAAACGCACATTTCGTATTTCATGATTACCCTACATGTCGGAGCAGGAGAGCTGTTCAAACATCGTCAATCTCCACTTGTAATGCTTGTCCCGATGTGTCTGTCAGTATGCAGCAAAGCTTGGATGAAATTGCTTCCACTGATATTAACACGATGATTAATGCACGAACTTCAGGTAGAAAATTAGTCGGGAAGTTATCTTGGTTGGCTTAAAAAAGTTTGACGTATAAGCCATATTTTAGACACGTTTTACCGAATAGTGTTGGTTCAGTCATCATCAAATGACATGTTTAAATTATTATGTTTAATACCAGCGCAATTGATTTTAATGCAGTTCAGTCTGTCGTCATTATATTAGCGTTCTATTCATCGCGTACCTTCTGTTGTATAACCCAGGGCATGGGCGATCCTGCCTTGCAGAGTTGTGTCCCTTAGGCGTCCCAGTAACCAATGATCGCCCTCGTGATGTTTCTTTTGCCCTCCGAAGCTAGCTGCATGTGTGCTAATACAGTGAAAACAGGCCATTCAGGTGACAAGGAGCATTACCTAGGGTAATGACCAAATTTACAAAGTGCGCTTTTCAAGAAATATCCATTTTGATACAGACAAACGTCATCTTTGAGTTTTGAGTCAGATACCTGCCAGCGGCCATATTTAGCATCGCATTTGGGCAATAGCGCTTTAAATACTACATCTGCACGTTGTTTTCTTTCACTTCAGCGTGGGCTATAGGTTTGTCAGCACCATACCTGTGTTCGTGGGTATCACCAAAATTGGTACACGTTTTAGACCTGCATCACTTCTGGCTTTCTCCGGGGGCGGTCGGGTAGCCTAGTTGTTAAAGCGTTCGTCGAAGACCCGGGTTCGATTCCCGACATGGGTACAATGTGTGAAGCACATTTCTGGTGTCCCCCGCCGTGATTTTGTTGGAATATTGCTAAAAGCGGCGTAAAACCAAACTCACTCACTCTGGCTTTCTCCCACACATTAACCTGCCACGCCGTGATATAACTGAAATACTCATCAAATCGGTGTAAAACCCAACTCACTCACTCACCCACTCACTCACTTACTTATAAGCATGGTTGGCCAAGTGGTCTTAGGCGCTGCGATTCACTGTGCAGGGCTGCTTGCTTCCCTTAGCCGCATCAGGATCTGCTTATCGTTCGATGGAATCCCAGATTCGATCTGATCATGTCTTCCATAACGATACCCGAACCAAGACCCCTTCGTCATCCCACGAAGACTAACAGCAGCATGCATGCTGCTGGCGAGAATTTCTGGGATTATTTTGTCATTTAAGAACGTTAAAACTAAATAAAAGCTAGGAGTTCACATCTGGGCAATAGACTGGCATGGCATTTGCCGAAAATTTTCCAACCAACCCAATTAATACCAAGCAAAGCATCACCGTGTATCAACAGTAAAATTGTATATTTTTTTTAATTTTAAAGGGACGGTTTGCAATGCAAACACACGCAAGGCTATGGCGGCGAGACATGACTGCATTTGTTTGTATCTCCAGCAGGGAAGAGTTCCACCAGCCCGAGATAGCCCGGATGTGTTTCCCTGCCACAGTCAACATCATCAATATTTCAGCGGACAAAGCGTCAGATTGCATGTCACTGATATGGGGAGAGACTCATAAAGTATCTCGTCATTTATTTTCTCTAAACGTCAGAAGAAATAATATCTAAGTACCGTCACCCCTTGCAAAACATGTCGGGATAAACTGTTTCCTAAATGAAAGATTTTGTTTGTTTATATATTTGATTGGTCTATTGGATGATGGCTAGACTAGTGGTTAAAGCGTTGGCTCGTCACGCTGAAGATCCGGGTTGGAATCCCCCTATGGCTACAATTAGTGAAGCTCCTGGTGTCCCCGCCGTAACATGGCAGGAATATTGCAAATGGCGGCGGAATGTATCCCCTGCGGGACTCCGTTCGTGTGTGAGTGTTTTAGGGAGAGCATAACAATAGTCAAGGAAGATCACGACATTTTGTAAATACTCGATACTGAACCAGGCAACCTAGTGGTTGACAGCATGAGCAACGATCCATCTGTCTGGTACTATGACCTGCAATGAACCAGGGTACACACTGTGTCCATGCAATCTACATACGTTACGGGCCCGTGACGATCCGGGGTAGAATAGGTCTTCAGCAACCCATGCTTGACGTAAAAGGCACCATGCTTGTCGGAAGAGGCGACTAACGGGATCAGGTTGTCAGGGTCGCTGACTTGGTTGATGCATGTCATCGATCCCAATTGCATGGATCGATGCTCATGATATCATTCACTGGATTGTCTGGTCCAGACTCGATTATTTACAGACCGCCGTCATATAGCTGGAATATTGCTGAGTGCGGTGTTAAACAACAAACCGACCAACCAACCAACATTAGTTACGACAAGCGATGCGATAAGCACAATTATCTGTGCCGTAGTTCCCTAGTTTTGTTCTAGAAATCATAATTAATAACGCAAAGTCATTAGTTCAGGATTGTTTCTCTTCATAAGTCCACAGTAAGAGTGTGATACGCTCAGTGATTACGTGTCATCATGCCCCGACGCCATGGGACGCCGTGATTAATCTCTCCCTTCAAAGAAAACGAAAGAGAAACCTCTTTAGACAGTAAAGGCTGCACACAAACCAACTGTTTTCCCACAGAGTTCTAAAGTAACGTTATATACTGAACCGCAAAAGAAACGTCACCATGGATAGATATTTGAGAAACCTTATTTGTCCAAACACTGTAAACATTCTTTGAGACAAAAGATGAAACTGATCATCAAGGTTGAAATTAAAGCGTCAAATGTTCTTAACGTGAAACACAAAACTAGTCTCTGAGAAAATGGCATCACAAGTCAGCATCTCATGTGTCCGCCATGTGCATTGATGATTTCCGTGCAACGTCGATACATGGAATGGATGAGGTGGTTGATGAAGGCCATAAGCACTTAAGCCTACACTCTGAGGAACGCCTGACGCAGTTGTCGGCCTTGGCCATGGTCGGACGTCATTCGGCCGTCTTTGAGTCTCGTCCCACAGGTGCTCAATGGGATTTAAATCGGGACTGATGGCAGGCCAGTGCATGGTTCTGATGCCATTCTGCTGGAGGAAGTCTCTTATTAATCTCGCATTGTGGGCACGGGCGTTATCATGCTGAAACTCGTGGTTGCGGCGAGGTATGGCGTGTTGTCTGAAAGACTTGATCAATGTACCGAGCTACTGTGACACCATTGCCTGTCCCTGGACCGATGTTCTGGAAGACCACAGGGCCGACCCTCTGTGCAAGACTAATTCCACCCCACACCATGATGCTCGGACCACCTCACGAGTCTCTCTCAACAACACCAGCATCCGAATAACGTTCCCCACGGCGTCGCCAGTCTCCCCCACCCCCACCCCCACCCCACCCCCCCACACACCCCCCCCCCCACCCCCCCCCCCCCCCCCCCCCCCCCCCACACCCCACCTCTCTCTCTCTCTCTCTCTCTCTCTCTCTGTCTCTGTCTCTCTCTGCCATCTTCTGATGAGATACAGTAACGGCTCTCGTTTGAGAAGACTCTTCTCCACTGCTGATGGCGCCAATGCTGCTGCTGTGTTGCCCACTGAAGACGGCCCCGGTGGTGACGTGGTGACAGATGAGTCCTCGGTGTGGCCTGTGACTGTGGAGGTGTCTGCTCGTCAATCGTCTACGCACGGTGTCCGCACTAATGTGTCGCTGGTGTGTCCCCATGGTCTGTCGAGCAGTTTCCGCAGCAGTAACAAAGCGATCTTGAAGATGCTGTCGCACAATCTGACGATCCTAACGTCGGGTTGTGACCCTTGGTCTTCGGTCATCTGTAGTGTTGGTGGTCAGGTACCGTTGTTGGAGCCTGTATTTGGTCCTTACGTGGACTTGAAATGCATTTTGGCTATTTGACAGGGTGGTTTGTCCAGCTTGCAATCGTCCAAGGGCTGATTTCTTGTCAATCTTGGCATGTGGTAGCAATTCAATATCGAATGAATGTTAACCGGTCTGGGTGGAATTTTATAGGGCAAGAAATGGAGGAAGGCATGTGCATTTCAATTTGCACGGAAGTGACGTGCATCGGGTTACCATGGCCGTTGCCGTGATGCGTTTGGGCGATCGGTTTTATTGTCATTTGCTTTGTTCCTTTATCATCAAATTTCATTTTTCTGGACAAGGTAATGTTAAATTTGAGAAACTTTGACAAAAAATACCCAGATATTTAAATGACAACTTTTCATCAAATGTTACTTTGGGTGACGTTTCTTTTGCGGTTCAGTATATTATATATTCCGACTCTATCATGAGCATGTGTTTATGAATCATCATCAAACAGTGTTGATACCAGTTATTCGCGAAAAGGGGACCTTATCCTGCCCCACCGATGGCACCCGTCACAAACACACGAAAAGGCAAAATCACAGAATCTCCAGCTTGATTGCATAGTATTTGAAATCGAACACACCAACCCAAGTTCTGCACCAAATGTCAATTACTTGCAAATATAGGTGGACAGATTCAGCATTAGTAATGCTATTGAATAAACAACACTTAATATTGAAAGATATAGTCAGTGTTAATTACTGGGTGGGTGTACATTTCAACAACATATATATCTGACACAATATCATCCAATCACAGCAGCTAGCTCTCTCACTGCACACTCTATCCTGTAGGGGCGGTCGGGTAGCCCAGTGGTTAAAGCGTTCGCTCGTCACGCCGAAGACCCGGGTTCGATTCCCGACATGGGTACAATGTGTGAAGCCCATTTCTGGTGTCCCCCGCCGTGATATCGCTGGAATATTGCTAAAAGCGGCGTAAAACCATACTCACTCACTCACTCACTCTATCCTGCAGGTGCGGTTTGTCGAGCAACTGATTCTCATTTGTTGGAATAGAACCTGTTGTCTTCAAGCGCGCATACAGCTTTGTGGGAAAGGAGGTATACATCTGGCAATAAACAGTATATCAAAATATTATAATAATGGTACCATTTTACATCAGTCATGGATACAGCTAGCGACGGTTCAACATCTGAAACTTCCTATAACAGAATACGTTCCTTAAAGGCGACATTGCTTGTCGTAAGAGGCGACTAACGGGATCGGGTGGTCAGGCTCGCTGACTGGGTTAGACGTAATTGCGCAGATCTATGCGCAGGATGTCAATCACTGGATTATCTGGTCAAGACTCGATTATGTCATATAGCTACATCATTGCTGGGTGCTGCGTTAAACAACAGACAAACAAAACATTCGTTAAACAATCGTCGGCTCCCAGTCAACCAAGGCAGAGAGCCTGACCACCCGATCCCCATTTTGGTCGGCTTCGCAGAATATTTCCCAAACGAGTCATTAGTACTTAATACATTAACCACTTTATTAGTAGGTTTGAAAAAGGGATATGTCTGCGTGCCCTGAAATTAACTGGACAAAGTCTTTTGTTTATTTACAAAGGGTTGGTTACAAAGTTGAGTTAAATTATCGCTGCATGTCTTGTTATTACTAAAATAACCATCGAGGTATTGAGATGACCCCTAATCTTCTCTGAAAAATGCTAGCGCATGGACAAGCGGAGGCAATACATTGTATTCCTGGGCCGCCATCACGTCCTGACACAACTGTAGAACCTCGGGATGGACATCGATCTTCATCCAAGATTTATGGTCACTTTGAAGGACTATCACATTCAGTCAAGTAAATCGTCATTATGACTGTATGTAACGCAATAAATATTTAAGAACGAGGAATTTTTGTTGGAAAGTATTATCGTTTTCTTCAGTTATGAATATACATTTATTAAAGTGATATCAGTTATATTTATCTACTAGTGATAAATACAAAATCTGTAAATGATTAGGGATTGAGTTTAAAACCGTTTTGAACAGTGTTTCAGTGATATCACGGCGTGTCAGCTTCAAATGGGATGAAAGCCCGACGTGATGCAGATCTTTGACGGTTACCACATTGGTGAAATAAAAGCGACAAAGCCCTTTCTGTATTCTTTGTATGAAATCTCTGCCAAAAGCAAAGTCGATTGAAACCAACGCGCACGCTGACAAACCGAAAAACATATTAATCAGGTTGAACTGGGATTCGAACCCGCTATCTTAAGTTCCTGGCACGCCTATGGGACGCAACTCTGCACAGCGCCTTACGACTGGGCCCCCTTGCCCCTTGTTAATGATGAGGATGAGGGAGTGCGGTAACCATAGATCATCACTATTATTATATATCCCCTGGACCACTCCCTGTCATGTCTTCGTTTTGTAAATGACGCCACCACTTCCATCGCAACTATCCTTAAATTAGCACAGAATATCTCTCGCTGGTGAGAGAAATTTGATTGGATGGCGACACATAGCGCCTTTCGATTCGGATCGGGCTTAAAACGTAGCGATTGGTCGAGGGCACATATCACCATATACTGCTCAAAAGAAGTTACAGAACAGTGTTTCAGTAATATATCATGGCGATGTATTGCACTGGATACTCGAGGATGCTTGGACAGCTGAGGAATCAATTAGATCATTGCAAAATTATTGTAAAATAATTGAAGAAAAACGTTAATTTATACATTAAAGTATTTATTATGAGCACCACCAATGTATGTATGTTAAGATATGTCACGCATGTACATTGATAAACGCAACAGAGTAACACCCTAAAGTTGCATGAACTCTACGG